TATTTCTCCAGATACAGTGTTGTGGTGCACTACGGGTTGTTCCCACCAAAACTCATATTGAGACTCTTCCCCCTACTACGGCAGTGTTTGGAGGCAGGTCCTAGCTGGAGGTGTTTGGGACTATGAAGGCTGAGCTCTCATGAATGTATTAATGCCTTTCTCATGGTAAAAGATGAGCTGCTGTGGGAGTTTGGCCTTTGTTTCTTTCTTTCTCAGGCACATGCTTGTCTTTCCACTTTCTACTGTGAATTGAAACAACACAAGCCCATCAACAGCTGTATTTATCTGAGCTTTGAGTTTGTAACCTCTAGAGCCTTAAACCAAAATTAGCTTCTCTCCTTTATAAATTAGCCAGATTCAGTATTCTGTTATAGCAACATCAAACAGACCAAGGATGACTGCATTTACAGAAGGGTCACTTACTGCTCACATGGTGAACACCAGCTTGTGTTATTTGAGGTGCATCATGATCTCCTCAGAAATCAGCAAGATTCCACCCATTTAGGCTCAGGTATACAAAAGTATAGACTTTCATTTGAGAAAAGAATCCATGCTCATTAAGAGACTCCTAGGAACTTCTTTACCTGGGATTTGTTTCACCATGCTCTGTCAGGAATTCCTTGCCTAGGGGAGGACCTATCTTTTGAGCCTTCATCTACACCTCCTACCCCCTTGCCTCACACTCTGTGCTCAAGCCATCAGGGCTTCCCCTACCTCTAGCCTTAATGTGACCTTAGCCTTGGTGGTTATCTTGAACACAGCCTTGTGAGAGACCCTGAGCCAGAGCCACCCAATCAAGGCACTCCTGGATTTCTGACCCACAGAAACAAAGAGATGATGAGTGTCAGTTGTCTTAAACTGCTATGTTGTTGGGGGAAAACTCACAGTTTAATAGTGAATTTACCCTCTTCTCTCTGCTGTTATTGTAAATCAATGGAAGCTATAAGTAACCTTCCATGGGGGTGTTCATGGTAGAGAAAAATTCAGTGCATGGCAGCTGGGATAGGATTGCCATCACCACAGCATGATTTACCTGCATAGTTCCAACTCATTTCCAGAGCATTGTGCTCCTATGTGAATTCAACCAATGAGTGTTTAGGGGTGGTCATTTGCCGTATTGTATTTAGGTATGGATGGTGTGGGAATGAAGACAGACAAAATATGAGTTTAGGTTTATAGCTAAAATGTCTCCCCAAGGTCTCATGTGTTTAGAAGGTGCCTGGGTAATGGGGGCACTATAAACATAAGCAGATTCAGCCATTGATGAAGTCAGTAGCTGAATAAGCTGTTAGAGGTGAGGCCTTATTGGAAGTAGGTCACTGGAGGCAGGACCTGGAATGGTGCACTCTTGTCCCCAGATCCTTCCCTCTTTCCCTGCTTCTTGACTGCCCTGAAGTAAACAGCTTTCCTCCATCATGATGTCCTGTCATGCTGTTTCTGCCACAGAGCCAACCAACCATGGACTGAACCCACTGTAATTGTATGCCAAAATGAGCATTTCCTCCTTAAAATGCCATGTGTTGGGTATTTTGTTCAGCACTGAGAAAGTGACAAAGATAGAAAATTGGTACTAGGAGGGTAGTTGATGTTATGACTTTAGTCAAAGATGTAGTTCAGAGGACTTTGACTGATCTGCAGAAGGATTTTGGAAATGTTTGCAGCTGTGGGCTGGAGAAGCACTAAAATACTGTAAGCACTGCTTGATACAAGATACTAGTCAGAGCCCAAAGACCAGAATGCTGACAAGAATGCAGACAGTAAAAGCCAGGCTCACGAGGCTTCACTGGGGAATAAGGACTCCATTGCCAGTGTGACTAGAGGCCATGTACTTTACATTCTGGAAGAAAATATGTCCATATTTTGTCCATGTTCTAAAACTGCAAGAGATTGAGATTAATGGTGGAGGACTAATTAATGTTGCAGAAGAAATTTTAAGGAACATTAACATTCAGGCTATGACATGGGTACTTCTGTCTGCTTTTAGGCAGATCTACAGTGACAGTCAAGAGCAAATGATAGAGGTGAGTCATTTGAAAAATGGCAGTTTCACCAGAAAGTAAGGTCTGCAAAGTTGTGGCAGAGGAAAGCATTGTTGCTGATAAAATTAGCATTAAAAGGAAGCCAAGTACTTTGTACAGACACAAGAAGAAATTGCCTTGAAAACACCTCAGATATCAGCAAGACCCCAACCTATAATAGGCTCAAGGATGCAAAATTGTAAGTCTTTCATCTGAGAAAAGAGTCTCTGTCCCCTGGTTCCCTGGGAATTATTTTACCATGCCTAGCCATCCAAGGCACTCAGAAACCTCTGCCACCGTGATTTAAGGGGTCTTGATTTAAGGGGCTAATCCTGGAGCTGATGGCATCACTCACTCAGTACTGGTGTTATAGGCATGCTGAATGTAAGAGTTGTGGAGACATGGAGATCTACACCCAGATTTCAGAAGAAGGCCTGGGAAGCCAGGCAATGTGCCCCTGAAATGGTGGTGAGTGAAACAGTGGATGTGAAGCCAGAAGTGCAATGGAGACCCCAGGAAAGTTGGACATAGAAAGAACATGGAACATCTGCTGAGGAACGTCATATGTAGTGGACAGAGCCGCTCCAAGAGAGAAGCCATGAGGGCTGCAACTGGCAATGTCATAGGGGCACGTCTGCTCAAGCCCTTTGGAATTCACACCTCATCACAACTTGCCCTGGGTGCTGGGCATGGAGCTGCAAGATTTAATTTTGCCTCGCTAGGTTTCGATTTTGCTTGAACCAGTTCTTTCTATCCCCCTCTTTCTCCCTTTTGCAATGGGAATATTCATCCTGTGCTATTTGAAATACTTAACTTTGTTTTTGATTTTCATAGGAGCTCACAGCTAAGAGTGAGTCTCAAAGAAGGCTGTGGGGTTGGACTTTTCAGCAAAACTGGAACAATTAAGACTTTGGTGACTTTAAAAAATGGACTAAATGCATTTTTCAGAATGTGATGAATGTGAATCTTGTGGGAGAAAGGGATAGAATGTCCTTGTTTAAATCTAAAATATCCCCCCAAAGCCTCCTATGTTTAGAAGGGAACCGAATGACAGGGTCATTATACTCATCAATGGATTTATGCCATGGTGAGTGCAGTACAGCTGAACTCTCTTAGCTTCCTCACTGCCCTGTAAGGAACAGCTTTTCTCCACCATGATATGCTGCTGTGGAGATAGCTAACCATGGACTGAACCCACAGAAAGTGTAAGACAAATAAACCTCTCTCCTTCATGTTGCAGGTGTTAGATATTTTGCACCAGCTGTGGGAAAGTGACTAAGAGAATGTACAAGTAATGTGAAGCAGGCAGTGGAGAAGACAGATGGCAGGGACCTCCTCATATGTCGGTAGCAGGGGAAATCTGTCCCTCATTATCTAAGCTGGCTTCTGCCTTCTATCTGTCAGGAAGAGACAGCACAGCAGGAGATATAATACGGTCATGTGCTGTTTCTGATCAACAACAGACTCATATACCATGGTGCTCCCATGAGATAATATCATCCGGCGAAGTTATTTTAGTTTGCACATTCTATTATGTCTACACAATGATGAAAACTACTCAATGCATTTTTCAGTCAATGTCCCTGTCATTAAGTGATGTATGCCTGTATTTTGAAAGTCTCCATGAACAATAGAGGGTGTTTACATTTATAAGGTCTGTGTGATAGGAATAGACCAAAAGCTCATGTTGTTATGCTGGTCTGCCGAGAGCCATGGCATAGATATCACACAGTATCACTTTGCTGTTACTTCATGTCAGTGCATTTTGCTAGGAAGTCCTTTCTGTGAGGAGCGATGCAGGCAGCACAGTCTGACAGGAGGTAGCCTCTTGCCTGTGATGCTCAAGCCTGCAGCCTTGTGCTTCCTTTCTCTGTCTGGCTCTTCTTTCTCTGCTGCATTCCTCCTGCCACCATGACCTTTGTCCTCCAGTTAGGTCCACTAACAATTGCTGGGCACCAACTAGCATGCACTCCGTTCTCACAGCTTTCTGCTGCTAGAAGACCTGCAAACCAGGACACCCTCTGTACATCTTCCCTTCTGCCTTCCTTGGTGTCAGGATGGTACGTTTGCTCACCTAGTGGCACGGCTATTGTAAGGTATTTCTAACTGTGGAAAGCAAGGATTCTCTGTGGTTTTTAAAGAAGTCCAGATCTTATACTGGACATGAGGCCAAGAGCTCAACAATCAGCATAATAGGAATTCTCTCTCAGAGGATGATGATGTTAGCATTTGCGATTAGGAAGAAAGTGAACCCAGGGAGGGATGCTAGGATCTAACTGAAAGCATTGGCCAGGAAATATGGCATCTGGCTGTCACTCTCCCTTCCTAGAGGAAGCTTACATCGACGTGATTAGGACATCCCCCATGACTGATTTGGAGATTCTCTGTGGAATGCAGGCCCTGTTGCAGCACCGGGCTAGGACTGGGCTGTGCAAGATGAGCATGTTCTGGCTCTGCCCTGGGGCACCTCGCAGGGGAGTTGATGTGAAACTTTCGTGCACATGCTGGTAAAGCCAGCTCACCTGCATGGTAATTATGCATTTCATGCAGGCTTAATGAGATAGCAGACACATGAGGTAAATGCAGCATAATTGCTTAAAATTGAGGCAAGACATTTTCTTGTGTGCTGTGGGTATTAACATTTAGTGACCCAGACAAACATCTTTTAAAACCTTTCTTTGAGTCATTTATAACACACTAAGCTTAGTCTGAAAGCAAAAAAGTCACCCTAGTATGCATAGGGTATTTGCTTTGACCAATCCACTCCCATTGCCTCTTTCAGAAATTCTCATTTGCACACTTGCTTAATGTAAGCATGTATTCAGTATTTTTAATACCAAGAATATACTTATTCATCAGCAAAGCAAGTGAGAACAAAACCCACCAAAATGTTAAGCTACCTTATTCTCCAGGGTTGGTCTATCTTACACAAAAGTGAATGGTTCCTTAGAAACACTCGATCTGCTTCCGTGTGTCTTACAGGTTCCCCCTCTTACTCCAGAGTCACCATGGACAGTTCAGCCACACTGTGCATGCAGAGGCTCTTTGCATTGTGGACTGGCTGGGACACAGCTGGCTTGTGCAGACTCAGGTAAAAATGCATCAGTGGCTCTATGGAAGTGTCCTGGCCCAAGCTGAAGTGGAGCCTAGTGTGTGCTTCCCTGCCACCTGAGTGCTCCTCTCCCAACACTCCTGGCTTGGCCTGCTGCTCAGAAGAGCTGGGAACCCACAGGCAGCTTCTGGAACCCAGAACCTGCCTCCTGGAAGATGCTCAATAATGTGCTGTCTGACTAAATAAAACAAAACTTTCCCCTTGGCCTCTCTCCCAGAGGAGGTGTGTCCTGGGGGTGGAGAATGAGGTGCAAGTTAAAGTTGTTGGTTTTCTAATGACAAGCATTCCTACAAATGCTGGAGGGGCTGTGGGGAAAAGGAACCCTTCTGCACTGTTGGTGGGAGTGCAGACTGGTGCAACCACTGTGGAAACCAGTCTGGAGATTCCTCAGAAAACTAGGATTAGAGGTCCCATTCAACTCAACTATTCTCCTGCTGGATATCTTCCCAGAAGAATTAAAAACATCATACCACAGCAATATATGTTTACCCATGTTTATAGCAGCACAATTTGTAATAGCTAGATCTTGGAAACAACCCAGATGCCCATCAACTAAGGAACAGATAAAATAGATGTGGTCTTTTTATACAACTGAGTACTACTCAGCTATAAGGAAAGACAAACTTGAGGCTTTTACAAGGAAATGGGTGCAACTTGAGATCATACTCATAAGAAATAAACCAGGTTCACATGTGTAAACATCATATTGTCTCACTAGTGCAAGAAACTGAAAGAGTAAATAAAATCCAAAATCTATAATAGACACTGTGAAAGGGAAAGAAACTGCTCAAAAAGAAAGAACAACAGGGATGGGTGAAAGGAGAAAAGATGGAAGGGAAAAGAAAATAGATACATACATAAAATAGATAAGACAATCATACTACTAACTTCTTTTAGTTCATTGAAAAAACTGCTTATATTGTCTGCATGGGAAGAGCACTTATGACCTTGTTTTATGTTTTATAATCTGAGCAACTAATTTGAAGATACCAATATGCAATATGTTAACCATTGTTAATCCTATTATCTTGTTTTGAAATTCCGTATTAATGTATTTTTTCTCTTTTTCCCTTTAAAAGAAAACAATCACTTGTAACTTACTGACCGTGGAGAAACCAAGAGAACTGAATGTCCGCATTTGTCCAGAGTATGATGTCAAGCATCTGGTCTTTAGTCCCCTCCTGCCTTTGGATTTAGCCACTTTTGCACTAGCACCACTACTTAGGATGCCTAAAATCCAAACTTAGCTTCTGCTAATTTTCTGTAAGTTCCTGACCTGTGTATGGATCCCACATATGCTTCTCCTTTCCAGATGGTGCATCTTCCACCCCTTCACTCATCCTCAGAATCGAGTTCATCCTTGTCCTCCTTAATTTTGGCCTCCTTCTCCCATCTCATTGGCTGTGGGTCTTATCTGTGTGATTGGTGCAAAGGGGCCAGGGAGAGTCGCTGCACACAGGAAACGCTGCATAGGAACCTGCCCCCATCACAGCCTCGGTACCAGTGTCTGCAGCGGAGAGGTGCGGCCCATAGGCGTCCACTACAGCAACGCCCGGTTACAACGTAAATCCATTTTCATTCCTCTGGACTCAGAATCATTTCTGTTCTAAATTAGTCACATCTGGGAGTGAGTGCGCATGCTAACATCATTCCTTAGGCAAATAAAATGAATTTTGTGGGTTTGTTTTATCTTTTAAAATCTATGAAATTTTTTTGGATTTAGAAATGTTTTCTTCCTTTGTGATTCTGTTACGATGGGTTTGGTAAACAAACTCCTTGCGATGCCTTTCGATTCTGATGATAGGAGCAAATGACTCCAATGACTTTGTGGAGATTTTAATCTAAATGACAGTTTTTAGTATTTTCTTCCTCCCAGCATAAGACTCAAGAGCTCTATTAAAAGGAGTTGCTAGAAGCATCACTGTAACATGCTCTTTCGGTTGCTTTTAGAGATTCTGATTCCTTTGTACTTCTTACATTATTTTGGTAAGTGCTGGTGTTACTCAGCTTTCCATCACTGTGACAAAAGACCTGAGATAAACAGCTCCAAGGAGGAAAGGTGCCTTTCAGCTCATGATTTTGTAAGTCGCCATCTACACTGAGGTTCAGCTCAGGCTCACCCCAGCCCCTCCTCTCTGGGCCAAGGTGAGGCAGGAACATCACAAGGAAGGGTGTGGATGAAGGAAGGTGTTTACTGGAGCCCACTAGGAAGTAAAAGACAGCCAGAGTCATGCCTCATGACCCGCTGCCTCTAACTAGTCTCACTTCCTGTTCCTTTCATTTTCAGTAAGGCCACCAAATTATGAATCCATCACTGGTGACATTAGAACCCTCACAGTCTAATCACCATCCAAAAATCTCACCTCTGAACCCATAAACTGCTGCGGGGACGTTTGAGATCCAAACCATAACGGAGGTCATAAGTGCTCTTCCCACGCAGGATGCAAACCTTGTGTCACGGGCATCGCCAGGTGGCCGTCTTTCTTCTGTGGATGGTGAACTCAAGAAATTGTAGGTGATGACACTTTCTCTTAAGAAAGGATCAAGTGGGCCCAGTTTAACAAAACAAGACATTCTAGAAAAAGGATCAAAAAGCCTTCAAAAGCTGCCAAGAAACCAGGAGACAAGGCCCAGAAAAACAAGGGAGGATCCTCCTACTGGCACACCTCTGACCCTTGTGTTCTCCCCCACTGGTCAAATGAAGGGAAGAACAAATGACTGCTGTTTCCAGATGCTGCTCTTTGCGGGACATCACAGGAGGAAATTTCCCAGCTCTTCTACTGCTGAGGTCACTGATAACTGCGGTGAAAATCGCTAGCTTGCGCCAATTCAAATAACTTGTCTTTCTAATAACACCCTGCCATAAATTGGCCACTGGGGTATCCTCAGGCAGTGAAATAAAGTGTGAGCTTTCCCATCTTTGAGAATCAGGCAGCAGATCAGACAGCAAGGCAATGAAAGCAGAGACAAGGCAGATGAGCGGAGAGCCAGAGCCAGCCTTCCAGGCTCCCCCCGCCGCTGTTTCCCTCCCTTTGCTAACGTGCTCTCTGCACTAACGAGGGTTTGTTTTCACTTCCTGTAATTCCGAAAGGTCACCAATGTGTGATTGTTTGACCTCTCATTACCCAAACCACCAAGGCATCAAAACATAAGGACCAACTAGGGCTTTAGAAGAAGCAGGCTGTCAAGTTTGATTTGTTTGTTTTTTAGGTGAGGAGTAGTTGGATTTTCACAGGATGGTAATCCAGTGAGTGTAAAAGTGAAGTTTAATTCAAACAGCGAGGGCTGTGCTTTCCTCTAGGTGAGAGAGGCTGTCGCTTAAGATGTTTGAACGTGATTTCTCTCCGCAGGTGAATGAATTGATATTTTGGGCTAATTCTTTCACGATTATGGAGTTTACCTAAAATTTCCCTTTATTCATCTGAATATAACTGTTAGTGATTATACACAGGAAAATAATGCATAATCACCAACATACCCATTACCTGTGATAGATTTCTGCACTTTTTCATGAAGTTCATACATTGATGAAAACTATATTTTATTTGAGAAATGTGTGAAGAAGAGTTATTAGGACTAATTTCCCATTATTTCTAATTCCACACCATGAAAAAGAGGACATTTTGCATCTATATTCCATATTTTTCCCTGAGATTTTTGTGCTGAGACATTTCCTTGCTTGGAGAGGGTTAAAGTATGAGGACTCTGGACTCAGATCTGTTCCTCTCTGTATTAACCATGCCAATAGGTTAGTCTTTCTGATCCTCAACTTCTAGTATCTATGAAGCGGGAAGAATAATATCTACTGTGTGGGATCCTTACCAAAGACAGTGTGTAGACAGTTCCTGCTGTACTGTGGGCATCCAGTCTGTAGAGTTATTGTATTGACTTTTGTAGTACTAAACACAATTGCACTGACTTGGTGTCTATAGTACTAACCCTGGTAATGTTTGAAATATTTTTTTTGTCCTTTATGATACTACATGCAACTATTTTTACCTAAGAACAAAAAGGAGACACTGATCCTTCTTGCTTTGGAAGTATTTTTGGAAGAATCTTGTGATTTTTTTTTGTTTTTAAACATACTTGGGACATTTTGTAAGTGTAATACTTAAAGTTTCCTTAAGATTTAGATCACAGAAATTCAATGATTTGTTGCTTCACAACAAGACAAGAGGCTATAATATCCTTATTCCAGTGAACTTAAAAGCTTTCTTTCTCTGACAGAGGTGAACCATTTGCAACTCTAATTATTATTTCGAATGGTAATTTTGCAACTTTCCTGCTAAAGAGAAATCAGGCTCTATTTCTGAGTATTTAGTAAACATTTAAGAGCACCACAAAATTTTAACAATGACAACATCTCAACACCCTGCTTTTGCACCTGGCATTTTCTTCAGGTAGCTTGCACTGGCGATCTTTGTATCTGTGACATCTGACTTCTGTGTGTCTTAGGCTAAGCTTTCTAGGCTAAGGAGTAATAGTAAGCACAGTGCAAACTAATAACATGAGAAAAGTCAGGAAACCAATCCCTCTTTCTCATTCTCAGGATATAGTAATAAAAATGCCTTGGTGCAAGGGTTCTAAGTCTTAATGCACTTGTGTGAATTGACTCTTCTCTCTCACAGTTTAAGAGGAGAGGGGTTGGGAACAAGAGACATTTGGACTCTATGGAATCACGGGAAAAGGACAAGGGTCTAAGTGGAAATAAAACCAAATGGGGTTTAGAAACAGAACGCCACTAGGCTTGGAGGACTGCAGAAAGGTAAGGATGGGATGAGAGCAAGGGTTGTCCACAAGCTCATTCTGCCAAAGGGCAAGCAGTTCCTAAAAAGAGCCCAGTGCAATTAGAAAGGAAATTACTCACGGATTAGAAGGTTGTGCAACTTTTTTTTTTTTGGTTTTTGGTTTTTCTCCGGTACCGGGAACTGAACTCATGACCTTGCACTTGCCAGGCAGGCGCTTTGCCGCTGAGCTAAATCCCCAGCCCCTGTGCAACTTCTTTTAGTAACAGAACACAGTTGGGCTCTTTGGTGACAAAGCTAGGTGGTTGGAGACGAGGTGGGGAGCAGAAGTGAAATCCTCCCTCCCAATTCCCATACCACTCAGCTCAAGGGGATGGGGGAGGTTTGGGACGAGACTTTGGAGAAGGGGTCATTCAGGTTACACAGAGCTTCAAGAAGAACTGTATTCAAACAATCGGGCCTTCTCTCAGTGATAGCTCTTCAAGAGCCCTACCGTCCCAGGAGTAAAAGTCTGTAGAGAACGAGTTGTCAGGAGTAAAGGTTTTGGGTGTCAGGCTGACAGAGCTCGTCCTTGCTGGGGTGTGTGACTGCCTTGTCAGTTGGGATGGCTCGTAGGTAGCAGATGTGAAATCGTCAGAACTAAGACCACATGCGCAGTGATGAACAGGCCCCTAGCTTCCTCCCTGCCTTCTCTGTCTCCTCCTGCACAGAGCCCGGTTCCTGCAGCTTGGCTGACTTAATCCTTTCACCAGTGGAGGCAGAGAAGCCCTCGTATTCCCACCACATCGCGAACGGTCGCCTTGCCATGTGTTTCTAGGACTCCCTTAAAGGATTCATTCTCCTTATGAAGGAAAAAGAAACAGTGTTTTAATTCTCTAATCCCACCCCTGAGTATCAGAACTGATATTGGCAAAGGGTCCTGGGAAAGACCTAGGTCTGGATCTCAGTTTCGAGAGGCACTTAGTGAAGCACTTCTGGTACTCAAAAAAAATCACCGAGCTATGGTATCAGATCTTTAATCAATTCTGTTTTAGCTCCTCAGAGCTATCCTTTTCTGTTGGTGTTTTTTTTTTTTTTTTTTTTTTGAGACCAATTTAACTCATAGTCCAGGCTGGCCTTGAATCCACGATCTTCCTGGCTCGGCCTCCCAAGTGCTATAATAGAGGTGAGGTCTTAGAAATATCTTGAAGGGTTTCTTTTCTCCTGCAGTGATGAAGCCATAACATTTACTAATGTTAACAATAATGAAATGATTAACTGTCCTAGTCATTTCTTACTACTATTTCAAGCTTCCCTTTCTGTTTGGACCACAGAAGCCTGACTTACAGACCCAGAATGTTCTGGAAAGAATATATGCACTTCACCTGGAGAAGTCACACCAACTCTTGTCCATTTCTATGCCTCCTCCTGCAAAACTCTGTGGGTCATTTGACACTGGCCTCAGAGTCCCCACTCTTTTTTTATTCTTGTCATCAGAATGACAAACAGAAGCCCTCCCAGGATGCATGTGCACCTGTGTGATCGTGCTCGCGTTTCCCATTAGGGTTTTTTAAACTCTGGAAAAACTCTTTGCTCAGGCAGCTGCAATCACATCAAATGCTCTGTTTTGATTTTTTCCTTGTTGTTGCTCCCACTGTTATTTCTCTTGCAAACATTGAGGTTAAAAGAGATAAACCTTCAGGAGTATTTTTTGCAAAAGCGTCTGGCTTCTTTGCCAGAAAAAGAACCCACAGGTTAAAAAATGGACAGTGACTCCTTCCAACCGAATGCATCTGGCCCTGACTTCC